TCGTAGCAGATGCCCTATCACGAATTAAATTAGACGAACAGGGTAATACCGTAAAAGTTGGCAATGCTGACAGCGTGTACAATAAATTCCCGAGAAACTGTAATAACCGAACTGGGTAAGGATCCTGAGTTTGGAAGTATTTATGAGTATTTGAAGGATCCTGAAAATTTTAGCCACCAAGATATTGTGGCGATAAGAAATAGGGCGGCCCATTACGAACTAATAGATGGTCTATTATTTTATACAAAAACTACGAATTCCAACAACGAATTTCGACCTGTTATCCCAGCTAGTCTTAGATTAAATATCCTGCAAGGAGCTCCATGACAGCCCTTTAGCTTCTCATGCTGGTATTCGAAAAAACTATCCAACGCGTACGCGAGGCAGTCTACTTTCCTGAACTGCAAAAGTTAACAAGGGCGTATGTCCAGTCCTGCCCAACATGTCAAGCCGTTAATTATATTAATTTCCGCCCGGCCGGGTTTCTAAATAGTATTAAATCCGAATTTCCAAATGAAATAATTGGCATCGATTTATTGGGCCCTTTCCCAAAAAGTCAGTTAAACAAAAGTCGCTATCTCCTTGTTATGGTTGATCATTTTAGTAAATGGACCGAAATTGTTCCCTTAAAACGAGCCTCCGCGAAATTAGTTACTGATTCTATTTTAAATAAATATATTTTAAAATACGGGGCGCCCCTAAAAGTTATATCGGATAATGGTCCTCAATTTGTAAGTAATATATTTGAAGACATGTGCCAAAAACTGGGCATACGTCATTTAAAAATGGTCCCGTATCGGCCGCAATCAAATATAGCGGAACGGGTCAACAGAAATATAGTGAAAATTATCCGTAGTTATGTTAAAAATTTTCATAAAAGCTGGGATAACTATGTCAATGAATTTGCTTTCGCCCTTAGGACCGCAAAACATGATACAACGGGCAAAAACTCCTGCTGAGTTATTTCTAGGCAGAAAGATTATAACACCGTTAGATAAATTATTTTATGTGCAACAAAGAGCCCCAGAATTTAAAATGGGTGATATAGAAAAACTAATAAAAGAAGCAAAAAAGAATACGGAAGTAGCACAAAGAAAACAAAAATTGTATTATGACTTGAAACGACGGGGAGTAACTTATAAAGTAGGGGATGAAGTACTTAAAAATTAAGCATTCACTTTCTTCAGCACCAGAAGATAAAACTGCCAAATTTTTTCCACGATTTGAAGGACCATATGTTATAGAAAAAATAACTCACGCTGTTGTAGTGTTAAAGGCAAGAAATGGTGAAACCTGTTCCGCAAACATTGATCAAATCAAACCCTACTTCGATCGTAATAAAATGCAAATCTTTTCAGATCTTTTGCAGGATCCGGCACGGCAGACACCGCAGGTACAAGTTCCAGAGGTGGGAAAAACGACAAGTACAAGGGCAAGCCAATGAGAGACAGAAGCAAGTGAAAAGAAAATTGCCCCGCGGAAAAATTGAAGGTAAAAGAAAAAGAAGCCGTTCCACCGTCCAGAAAAAGAGTTCACGAACACCCCCAGAATGAAGAAGGGAGAAGGACGACGACGTATGTGGAAAGACCAGGAGAAAGGACGGCAACTATAACCCGGCTGTGAAAACGGAAGATCTGACTCATCCGACAGAACTCTCCGCAGCAAAAGTCGCCGAACTGCGGAAGGGCCATCAGCGGCGGAGGAAAAAAGTACAAGAAAAATTTGAACGGCCAACAACGAGGTCCAAGCAGGATCACGACAGAAGTTTCCCGGTTCCACCAAGACCAGCTGCCTTCAAACGGCCAAGACCACAAGCAGAGGACAAAAGGAAGATGTTCAAGGGTGGCCGTAACGTGGTGAAAAACGGAAGCTTCCAGAGGAAGGAAAGCACTGAAGGGCGAGCCCGTACAAGAAGGAGGATCAAACCAAGCTACGGTCTGCAGCACCTTTAAAGACTGGGCCCAGAAAAGGATGTCTGAATATTACAAAGATAAGTAAAATTTTATGTTACTTTGCAAACTTAAGTTAATCTTTCATTCTTACTGCAAGTGGCAGATTTCAAGAAGTTTTACCTCATGCGAGGTCTACCTTTATCGCCAAAAGGGCGAGAAATGAGTTGTGACCGATTTTCTTATTATGTTTTTCAATTACTCGCGCGTAAAACTAAAGTTGATGTATAATAGCGTTGTGTAAAGACTTAAATATTGTAAAAAGTTATTGTATAAATTTTATTTAAAACATTCTAACAAGAAAGAAGTTTTAGTCTGAAAGACTTTTTGAAATGTAGTATTATTTCAATGTAGAAAGAATTGGCACTTGCTTTGAAAAGAATAGAAGTTAACAATGTACTACTAATGTATGTTTTCAAATGTGTAAAATTAACGGCATGTTGATATGTTCTTGTATACATGTGAACTGTTATTTTGAAATGTTTAAGAAATACCGTGATATGGTAAAAGTGAAAGTAGTGAAAGTAATGTTAAAAATTTGTTATTCGTGTGACTGTAAAGATTAAATCATGGTGAATATGTGTTAAAGGTTGAATGATGTAGTTAGGCTCTCTGACGCTACACTTTAGAGTTAGCCACTTTCAGAATAGTACCTCAGGGTTTAGAGTTGAAATTAGGGTGTGTTAAGAGGTCTCGTATGTTGAATTTTAACACGTTAGTGTTTTGATTGTAGGAGGAAGTGTTGAACACGTAGACAGAAACACATTCGTGTTTGGTGTTCTTTTACAACACATGTCAGAGAGCACGGGGAGAGATAATTAAAATAGTCATGAATGAAATAAGAATGTTAAGAGAAAGTATATTCTATATGTTATTTGCAATGTCATTCTGTAACATTTCATTAAACTAGTTTTCCTTCCAGATCTCTGGAAGGAACCAGAATTGAATAAAGCTCCTGTTTAGATGCAGTACAGATGAAAAAGAAAAAAGATTGTTGTATATTCCGGGAGCTGCTATTGTAACAAATTTCTTTCTTTTAAAATTTCTAGTTTCTAGCTAAGTTATGATTTGTAAAAGGTTGGCCTCGCGTTAGTTTCTAGAGCTAAAAGTTTTCAACAAGGTCGTTTTAGACCTCAGTTTCAAACTAATTAACTCTGGCGGGAAGTATGTAAGGATCTTAAGTTTTACTAACGTTTATTTTATTTTAAATCTTTACTATCACTTCTTATTTTCTACTTCCGGCCAGAATTATAAGCGTGAAGGAGTTTATGCAAAGTTTGTCTGGCGAACGCCAAGTATTTAAGTGTGGCCTTTTTGCCAAGCAGAGAGAGAGAGGAAGCCGTGAGTTCGAAGCAGGCCGCTTACCTTAGAAGTTACGCAGTTGCTGGTTGCTTTGCCTTCCAGGCCAGAGGTTTTAATCCTCTTGATAAATTAAAACGTATTGTAGTGTTCACAGTCTCTGTGCTACATACGCTTCCTGTTATTATAAGGCCAATCTTCCATTCTAAAGTTAAATTAGAGTTTAGTTTTATTTTGATATCTTTTACGTTAGACCCCGAGTGGAGGGTCATTGTATTCCGAAGTACGGAAGTCATTGTATATAAAGAAAAAATAAAGGGTTTTGTATACCCTTCGTCTGTATCCTGTCTACTTACTACAATTAGTGAACATAGCTTTAGTAAGCTCTCTGTTCTAGTCAGGTCATTGTATGTTTCCGAAGAAGGTTAGAAGAAACATTGAACCTGAATTAAAAGAATGAACCTTTTTCATTGTTTAATAACACGGCAAAAAACAAAAAAAGGGTACGTTACAAATATTCTTTTTTATATTTTTAGCATGCCTTTTTTTTCAAATGATGTAGAACAATATTCTAAGTTTCAAAACTACAGCACCTGGATAGGATACGCTAAATCTAAACTTATTACAAAAAATTTACCAAGCAATATCGATAACTACTCTTACCCACTCTGGCTAAGATTCACCTCCTACTTTTAAACCATGCTGCTTGGTATTAAATTTACATAAACTTTCTCTTCTGATTAAATATTGTGACAAGAACCAAGGAGAATTGGATAGTTATTTAATTGTTCGTAAAAGTTAAAAATAATTGTCAGAAACAGCGTAAGCAATTTAAACACACACAAAAAAGCATTTCTCCAAATCTTAAATATCCGGTTGGTATAATTTTAGATACATTTCGCTGGTAAACTACTTCCAGCTGATAATTTTCATGAACATTTGAAGCATTATTCTAATGAATAAATTTTTATAACGCTTTATGTTACTCATATAGATAGGAATTAGAAGAAATCGTTTAGAAATAGAAATTTAAGAAAAACGTTTCTTCTTATGGTGGTGAGCATACCAATAGCAATCATGTTTAAATTTTCGTGCATTTCAATATCATATCTTTTTACTAAATTTGTTGCTTTTCAATTAAGTCGTAGGATTCCCCACTGTGTAATTCTAAGTTACAGTTGAAAGTGAAGAATCTTAAGAACTAATAAGCGAATAATCGTTTGAGTTCGTGTACAGGAAACAACAAGTAAGAAGGATGAAATAACCCTTTATTATTTCAATTAAAGTTTAACAAAACTCCGTTTTGGAGTTGTACAATAAAGCCGACACTTGGGCTTGAACTTAAGAAACTAAGAATTAAACTAAACTAATCTTAACTAAAGAGATATAGCCGAAGGTATCAACATTCTAACAGAGTTGGCCCCTTAACGCTAATTGACTGCGAAGCTATCAAGGGTCTAAAGTACGGCCGAGCGTGATAATAGCTTACGAGAGAGTAGCCTAAAAAAGCGGTCGCGTGCAGCCAGAATATCTGGTATCTGTCTCACTAAGACTGTAGAACTTCGCGGTTATATACCGCTCTTCCTCATTAGCATTCATAGGTGCTTCTAAAACTACGTTCTGGCCGGAAGTGGTAAGTTGAATTAAGAATCGATAGGAACGGAAGTTTGACTCAAAATTTAACTGTTAATAAAGTTAACATAATCCTTACAAAGTTATCAGATTAATGTAAAAATATCTTTATGTACTTACACTCTAGTGAAAAGGGATAGTGTGAACATCCCTTTTGAGGAAGAATTCCGAACAACGAAAGTTCCTTCTTTGTTTTCTCGTTTTAGAAGTACCTCACATCTCTGTCGCGACATATCTCCTACGTACCAGCTGTAATAAAGAAAAATCGAAATATTAAACTATGAGTGATCAATGTAAAATTTTCATTTCAATCGAATGTTGTCCATTACTGCCAATGCATACATCTCAACCATTATCTGCATTATGATTGATTTAAAAACGTGTACTACAAAGGAGCCATCTTGGATTTCTTGGGTAAGAATGTACTCAAAAACATTTATCTCCATCACTAATTCATAAAAATATTCTCTTCCCTTTCAAAAAGTTTTCCGGTTTAACCAGTGTTTTAGAAAACAGCTTGCGAAATCTCAAATTTGTTATATTACATACAAGCAGTAGCAAGCAAACGAAACACATACACATAATTATGGAGTTCTCAGTTGCAAGTGAAATCAACATTATTTGTATCACCCATAAGATATAATTAGAACAGTTCTATTGGTTAATAAGTTTTGGATAATAATTCAAATTTTCTAGGTAGTCAAAAGATGATATACATACCAAGAAAGCATAAAGTTGTTCTCTTAGCGTCTAGCAAACTTAATAATTTTGATAAAAGTTTTGAATGGAAGAGATCGAAATCTTTAAGAGAATTAAAAATAAATACGAGAGCCAGATGGATATTAATTCTTGCATTGCTTGTTATGTCTTTTGATAGTTTGCAGTTGCATGATGGAATTAAGTAGTACTGGGCCACCACCCGTTTAAAACGGACTATGAATCAGTATTATTAATCACGGATTAATGGGACTTAATTTGGAAAGTATTAATGTAACATGCTGACTACCTCACTTTTTGAAATACTGTTATTCGCAAACATCCGAAGATATTAAAACTTTATGATTTTTTAAGTCATTGCAAAAACCTGTTGTAAAACGCATTAAGTTCTTGTAAACTTTTGCTTCAATAGGGTTTCTATGAAATTTTCATAAATTTGAATGCTCTACAGTGTTTAATTTCCCCCATTTTTTTGGCATTTTAGTATGCTTTTATTTCTGGCATTTTTGCATAAATCATTGTTCATTAACATGCTTTTACTTTGTAGAGACATTGGGATTTTTGAAGTAGGAAACATGAAAAATGAACAATGCCCTCGCCGGGATGCTGGAACCTGGTCCACTCGAATACGCTCCCAGTGTGCTACATTTACACCACGAAGGCATGCAGAAAGAGAGGGAACAAACACGTGCCCACTACTGATACCTTATAACTTAAATATGTTTTAGAAAGCTATAAAAAATTCATGGTTTTCTAAAACATTTTTCAACATTTTACAAAGTAAAACATTTTACAAAAATTTACATTACAAAAAAAAAATTACATTTTACATTTACAAAATTTAAATTTTACAAAAATTACATTGTTTTAGTAAAATGTATAAAATTTACATTTAATACATTTTACTAAAACATTTTACAAACTCTCTTGAATTGTCTTCCTATTAGTTTGATTTTATGCTTAGTTTAATTGTTTAATGTTTTATAAATGCATAGATACAATTTACCATAAGAAATAATAACAGAATGAGACTGCATTAATATTATTACTGTTTATAATGCAAGAATAAGGTAGTAATAATTTATTACTGTTTATAATGCTCTCGGTTTCTTCATTATAATAAATTTCTTAATATTCTTTGCCTAATATTTCATGCAATGATGATCAAGAAATTTTTCATAACTTATAAAAAAATTCACAGCTTTTGTTACACTAATATTAAATATACCTTTCATTATAAATAAAATTTAACTCTTAAGAATACTAGACGACATTTTACTCAAAATTGTCAGCTTATAACTCTAAGTGCATTTAAAAAGGTATTAAATAAATTCCTTAAATATTTTAGGTATAAAATTTTAAGAGTTCCTTTAACAAATTCTTGCCAACTTTATTTATTTATAATGTGTGAGGATGCTTATGAAATGTATGAAACATTCTTTCATCAACGAAGTACCAAAGATAAATTGAAATTCTTATCCCATGAGCAAACAATCAATTTGAAAATGTTATTTCAAATTGAATTTTTTTACAATCCATTTAAACAAGTGCAAACTACTTAATCCAGTAAATTTTCCTATAGCTCTTGTCATGAACAAATATGAAAAGGAATTATTCTTTGACCACGTTCCGCTCAAAGAAGTTTGACACCGAATCCAAGAAAATTGCCGAGAAAATGGAAGTTGGGCTGTCGTAGAAAAGGAGTTGATTGGATAATGGAGATGTCGGGCGCTTTGGACAACGGAAATAATTCACACTTGAAGAGAACACTTTAGAAAAACGAAAAAGGAAACAAAACAAAAAGGGGAAAAATTCCTAAATGACATGTTTTTGAGAAGTGAAATTACGACACGGAGAAATTTTTCTCATTATTCAAAATATGAGGAAACATTAACAATAGTCAAATGATACATTACAATAATTATTACAATGAACATTGACCCTGAATTATTTTATATACTATGGGAAAAAGATTTCAGATTTAAATGGCCATGTGCAATTTTTTATTAAATTATAATTTCTCATTTTTTTTTCTTGATAGTACTAATTTTTCGATTAAAAGGTTGTTAATATTCGAGACAAAAAGAGAACTGACTTAGAAAATTATACAAGTTTCGGTTTGGGAAGAAATTATCTCCTAGCCCTTTGTCATTTTTCATTTCTAGGATTTATTGAATGAATATTGCTGATACAAAATTTTAGTTTGTATAATTAATTTCGGCATAAGATGAAAGGGCCACTTTCTCAGTGGAAAGAATGTATTTATCAGAGGGGATTTGAGATCTATTACAAAGTTCTCGAGGGAAGCGATGCCTTCGCGCTGGACATCCTAATAAAACTGGCTCGTATACACGTTACACATAGAGACAACAACGAAAACGCCCATGCAGCCATCCCGTTTGCCATGATTGGAACTTCGGGATGAACTACCAGTGTTCAGCGGCTTTACTGCTCGGCCGCTGGTGCACAGAAATATCTTTCTGACTCGTTTAAAATTGCAATGTGTGATTTCAGCCTGTTAATTGCAGAAGTAATATTTCCGTGAAAAATGTATATATCTTTAAGCTTAAAAAACTTTTGACTGCTATTTTTGACTGAAAATATCCAGGCATTCTTAAATTCTAGCTGTAATATCACTTATAGATTACTCGATGACGATTTCCTACGCATTCACTTACCCTTGCATATATACAAGGCAATCTGCACAGACAGTATTTACTCCAGGCTACAAAATTTGTGTTTTAAAAAAAAATTAATATTGATTTATTAATCTCAATTGTTCCTGGATGAAAAGTGCAATAAGAGATTTGCCCTACAGTTTATTATATACAATTAAAGTAAAGACCACAGAAGTGGTATATCCACTGGTGCGCAAAAATTAAGGACGAAGTCGAAAAATTAGCATATCAGCTGAACGAAGAGGCAGAGCGGACAGAAAGACCAATCAGGAGATTAAGTAAGGTGATGTACGATAGCACATGCGCAGATATGCAGGTAGACGTAATGGGGGAGTGTCTGAGTAGTATAAAGCATGTTGTCGGTGTAAGATCAGTATTTCTGGCAAAGAGATTGCACGCCGTATAGCAGTTAAAATCACACCGAGTTGTTGCCTCAGCGAGAAATGGCGAATAATCAATCTGTTAGACGACATCTGGATGCGTTTACCCGAGGTCGAATCATTGGGAAGTTGGAAGAAGGCCGCAGTGTGACAAGTGTGGCTGCAGAGTTCGGAATTGCTCACAGCATCGTTTCACGACTTTGGAGACAATTTCAAATTACAGGAACAGCTATCCGGGGGTTTAGTAGTGGTCTTCCACGAGGAACCACACCCGCAGATGGCCGGTATATTGCCTTACAGGCCAGAAGAAACAGGCGGCAGACTGCGGGAGAAATCGCTAGACACACGACACAGGCGACTGGACGACCGATATCGCGTTTTACCGTGGCCAGAAGACTGCACGGTGGTGGTCTGTTTGCACGACGCCCTGTACGGTGTGTACCTCTAACGCCTGCCCATAGAAGAAGGCGTTCTCTGTGGTGCCGGGAACACCGGAATTGGAGAGACAATGAATGGGGACGAGTACTCTTTACAGATGAGAGCAGATTCAGTCAGAGTAGCGATTCTCATCGCATACTCATCTGGAGAGAGCGGGGAAGCCTCAATCATCCCTCGAACATCATTGAAAGGGACAGGTATGGAGGTGGCGGTGTTCTCGTTTGGGGAGGCATCATGCTTGGTAGTCGTACAGACCTTCACATCTTCGATGCAGGTTCAGTCAACGGGACCCGTTATTGTAGCGAGATTCTTCTTCCATATGAGCGTATTTTTAGAGGCGCTATGGGTCCGCAGTTCCTTTTCATGGAAGACAATGCACCATGTCATCGCACAGTAGCTGCCGAACAGCTCTTAGAGAGTGAGGATATTGAACGTATGGATTGGCCGGCACGATCTCCGGATCTCAATCCCATCGAGCATGTATGGGATTTTGTAGGCAGACGCTTGGCAGCTCGTACCTTACCACCAGTAACGATTCCGGAGCTTCGATTGGCGCTGTAAGACGAATGGGCAGCAATGCCTCAACAACTCATTGACACCCTCATTCTCAGCATGGGCAGATGCTGTGAAACCTGCCTAGCAGTCAGGGGAGATCATATCCCCTATTAAAGACCGGATGTTTCTTGCTGGACACCCATCACAGGGATGTTTCGGCCTTCAGTCGCATTGCGCTCCATGCTACTTTTTCAATAAAGCTTCTTTTTATCCCTCTGATTTCTCTTTTAGTAAGTGTTGCTTACGTTACTCATGTCCTTACGTATTGGAGATCTTACGGTATTAAATGTGTTGACTTGGAAAGCTTTTGTACAAAGTTATATTGAAAAAACCGTCTCGTCCTTTATTTTTGCACACCAGTGTATTTCAAGTAAACTCTAATTTAAAGTTTGTTGCGGTAAACGTTTGCTTGTAGCTTGCAAATTTCATATATATTACATGTTAATGAACATTGCATACTACATATATTGAAATTAATTCT